ATAAAATATGGCTCCTGACCATGTGTTCATGTGGGTTTTATTTTTTCCAAAATAAACTGAGCAGATAAGGAACAGATAAATTGAAGCATTTAAAAGTCAGTCAGAAAAAAATATAGATGGCCATATCAATCATACATTTCCATCCACACATAGGAAATAGACATTGTGAAAGAAGGACAGAGAAACGTTTTTCTGGGAAACTTCTACAGTTAATATATTGGACCTCGGAGGCGGTGCTGTGGAGGGGATCAGGAAACAGAATAGCAGTGCATCCCAGGCGGGCGAGAGGGACCCCCTCGGGCTGCATAGTGTGAGCAGATGCAGAAGAATGAACCAAGCCATGGGTAGTGATGGTGGGGGGACGGCGGGGGGAGGCATAGGCACATTTCACACAGTGAGGTGGGGGCGGGGGGAGGGCATAGGCACATTTCACACAGTGAGGTATAAGGCCCAGCAGATTGACCTCCAGCATCCCAGAGGGTCAGCAAGGGCCAATGAACGGCTCAAGATAGCCAATGGACCCTCCTAACAAAGGCCGTGGGCCATGGAATTGAGTGGGCAAAGGCTGTTTCCATATGCCATCGCTTAGGGACAGGGGCTGGAGGGCTCAAAGCCTGAAAGACACCTGGTGCCAGTACCATGATCGAAAGATGAGCAAATCCTCAGTTGTGGGAAAATGTCCAAGAGGGAGGCTTATCAAAGTGAGGGGGGTGGGGCTTACAGATTATGCCGGTGTTGGATGAAGTGAGTGTTGAAGGTTCCGGGGCTCCTAGCGTGTCTCAGACTGCCGGTGGGCAGGAGAAATGCGCCAGGAGGACCTCTGCTCACTCACTAGCACCAATATTACGATATACCCCGCGCACGGGGTCCCTGAGGGTATCCAATGTGTGCAGGGAAACATGCTGACATACTGAGCAGACGCAGCAGCAGGCTGGCGGGCGCCCCACACCATGCGGGCGGGGGGGGGGGCAGACAGTCATTCACAACACAGTCCCTGTGTCTGCATGGAAAGAAATATATTATATTATTATAATAGAGAGACAAAGAGAAGATAGGAAAGAGAGAAGAGGGGGGTGTCGAGGGGTGCACACCTCATGGGAGGAAAAGCAGGAGAGGGGAAGGGGAGGGACCTTTCCCCAAAATGAGGCTTTTATGTCAGGACACCATGTCAGGGCACCACGGGGTGGGTCAGACCGCTAACATTGGTTTCCAAGGGGCGGGTCAGAATATTAACACCCAGGACCCCTGATGATCGTTTTGATTCCTTGAAGTTTCTACCAACCATTTTTTAGGTTACACCACAGCCATTCACACTTTCCTTCCCTCTGTCTCCCTCACTCAGCAACAGACCTGAGCATCAGGACTGATGCTCCCCACGCCACCCCCAGTGAACTTAGCCCCACCTCCTGCGTTCTCACAGGGGTATCCTGACCAAAAGCTTTGCACACCAGTCTGCTCCTCTGAGGAAGGAGCTCCTCATAGATGTCTAGGAAGCTTCTGGAATGACCAGTCCCTGGGGATTAAGACTTATTGCTGCATCCAGACAAGAGCCCTCAGATCCCCCATAGGAAAAGAAGAGAAACAGCAAGGAGCAGGGAAGAGGCAAGATCCCGAGACTGTGAGTAGAAGCCTTCCCCACCGGCCTGGCTGCGTCTTTCAGGAGAATCTCCATCTGTGCTGAGGCAGAACACGCCCCCTCCTGCTGCCACCTGGTGGCCACAGCAGAAAAAAGCACTTTTGTAGCTCCTTTCAGAGGAAAGACAGAATTTATTTTGTCACTTCCCTGAACCCCTATTCCAAACGAGGTTCTCATTGTGATTCCCCAGGTATCTTTATCTGATAACAAAAACTTACCCACGTGAGAGTTAATTAAGATAATGTGCTGTAATGTGCTTG